CGCCAGACAACCTCACGGAACACTAACGTAAAGCTCACCGGCCTTAGTGTGGGACCCGGCAAGAGAAGTATAGACCCGAACCCCGTGTAACAGTGGGCCGCTCGGTGGGGTGGGCCGTTCGGTGGTGAAACACGTTAATGTAATGCTTCCCTCTTAGATCTTGCTAATAGGCATGTTATTGTGATTAAGTGCATAATATGTTATGGCTTAAGTGTCGAATTAACTTTAGTAGCAAAGTTGACCAAATTGATGCGAGAAATAGAACAAGCTTCTTGATGCTATCTTGAATAGGTAAGTGCAGCTGAGGTTGTGCTTGGTAGTGATAGACTGCATGACGTTTTACTTTATGAAACTACAAAGGCTCGTATACATCACGTGGAGAACTAGTTATTCACGTGTTCGTTTAGACCGTTGTACGTCGACGGAGGCCTTGAACGAGGAGTCCCTTGAATGATGTCACGTGAAATGGGCTTGGCACAGGACGCCTGGTTTGGGGTTGTTATTTTGGGGCCAGCAACGGACGAATTTGTTTATTTCCTCGATCCACTTGTTACAGGTTATCATGACAATGTGACGTATGGTATGACTCGGTTCTCGGCGTGTCCGGCCAAACCTTACTTAAAGAGTGAAGCCTTTTTTCTGAATACTATCACTGGAGGGGATACACAGTTCCGATGATCATCTTGACAGATAATACAGACGTTTTCCTATTTCAACTTTTAGATATAGCACTCCGTCTTCGGAACGGTAAAGTAGATGACATTAGTCAAACCCGCGCTTTTCGCCTTCATGTCTACTCTACAAGCTTGCATAGCGTGACCAACAAAACCAAAACCCGGTCGTCCACGAACTGCAAAAGGAAGCTCGCAAATCCAATGCCATCAGTCAAAGCGTACCTGAAAAGGCATGTAGCATGTCGACTTCCCCCTTAACGACAATCACGGCAACCACTGCCCAGGCACTCCACGCCCTCCCGGTCTCGCCGCCACCTATCACACCCCCATACCCTATCACTTCGTACCAACCCCCTCCCATGCAACAAAAAACGCATCCAAGAAACGATCACCAGCCGCCCAAGTCCTCCTCTCACCCCCTTATCTTCACCACCACCCCAATCTCCGCCATGCACCCATTTCTATTTTCAACCCCAGCGCTGTTCACGTGTCCCCCGGGCCGCATATGCATGAGGCGTGCAGCTTGCATAGCCCTCGCCCATCCACCATCCACCATCCACCATCCAAATCCCCCTTCCTCCCTCCATCTCCACACATCCCACCCATCCATCCATCCATCCATTCATCCATCTAGTCTCACGCCTTAGTACGCATACGCGAACCCACCCTATCTTGCAAATCCCGTGCCACAATCAAAAACCCCACAACCCGTTTTTTTTCTTGACACGCAACACGCAACTCACACCGTTACCCGGTGTCGTACAACGTTACACTTGCTTAGCCTACGCCACTCCCACTTTTTTTTCTTTCTCCCGCTGATCGTCGTTTCGCGGGTTTCGGCAGGTACGGACGCCGAGGATCGTTTGGGTTTTTTGGTTAAGTAAACGGTGTGAGCAAGTTTGTGGGGTGGTGGGTGGGACTACTACTACTGCTACTACTTCTACTACTACTACTATCATGCTTGTTCATCCACGCCAAGGGGAGGGACGGGGGACATTGTGGATTTGGAGAGTGGTACCGGCTGTTGTAGTCATGTTTATTCTACGGGTATTTACATAGATACTTGCTATAAAGCGGAGATTTGTGGTTCTTCTGGCCCCCAAAGACGTGTTTATCTTCCCCGCGGAATGGCGAATGTCCGCCCTAGCGTGTATGTGTTGTCTAATGTCCGACCTAGTGCGTCTTTGTCGCTTGCGTGATTGTTTGACGGCTAGGCGTGCATGTGGTAAGGCGTGGGCGGACATGGCCGATGTCACGAGTAAGTAGTATAGTGATGTGTGGTTTTTACTATGGAATTTTGCAATGATGCATTGAAGTATCTGGGAGTTCAAACTCCAATTGATTATGTTCTATGTCTGTACACTGTTGCAATTCGAAACTTCTGAGACAGTGACGAAGTTACAAAGTACTATTTGATCTCTCCTCCTCCTCGGAACTTGTTATAAAGATCAGCATCTCATGACGGAAGTTTGTCCAACATCAAGTCTCCGCTCCGTTAAGGCATTCCGCGAGGCTTACTTTACTTGTCGTCACTTAAACATTGGCGTTGGCCATCTTCATATATTACGTTCGGACCCACTGTGAATGAAACGTGATGGACCATGCATCCTATGCGAAGAGGCGTACGACCCCTGTTGAGGATATTACTCATACCCATGCGCAGAGCATTTGCGGGTGTGGGGGCTGCATTTCCCGATGCGGTAAGAACGGAGAATACAAAGGCCGCATCAGGGTGTACGTCAACATATCTGGCTCTTTGTCGCATGTGAAAGGAAAGATGACAGGGATTAAAGTTTTCGTTTTTGTGGGTCAGTGCATTCCAGAATGCCCGTATCGCCGTATGGATGGTATGCAGAGTCCCGGTCAATGACTTGTGTGACTTGTAGCGACTATGCAAGTTTGCGCATAATGACGGCTGCGTTTCCGATTCGTATACGCTATCCGAGCCAATGCATGAAAAAAAACCAGGCAGCTTGATCAATGTGCACCAGTGCATCGAGAAGGAACTACAGATCTGTGCTGCTGGATAGCAAGACCATCGTGCTCCGTGATTAACCAGTGGTGATGCTGGGTTTTCTTACACCCGCAAGTAGTGAAAAGAAGGCGTAATCATCATACGACTATGACCAGATCTTGACAGCTCCGCAAGGTATCAAATCTTAGTATTTCAAATGCACGCCACATGCTTTGAATGGCATAATGGTGAAAACTGTTTATCGTAATGCTGCGCTGATTGTCGCGCTTCCATTATCTTCGTTCTGATATCTTATCACGCTGGACGTACGTGTTCGTCATCTTCGTGTGCGTCGCCATTGTGCCTCTAGTTCTCGTGCCCTCGCTGCAGCCTCCAGTCTCTTTCGCTCTGCCATTTCTTCCTGGCTCTGTTGGTAATTGGGTAACTCATCGTCTCCTCGCGGTGGGTCGTTCAGTCCTAACAATTCCAGTTCCGCGTTTACTTCATCCATCTGTGGAGGTGGTTGCCATGGCTGATACGAGTCCACAAACATATCCAGTGAAGGTTGTGGATGATTGAGCGCAGGCGCTGCTAGTGACGAAATGAGTGGTGGGGGTTCAAAGTTCTGCCAGTCATCTCTTTGTTCTCGCTGGGGCCGTCGCATTGGCGGGGCGCATGATCCCTGGGGGTGCTGCAATGGCAGGGGAATGCTGTCGTTAGTACTCCGACGAGCGAAAAGCGAACCTCGGAGCTGTGGTGGTGCACTGGGAGAGAAAGGTTCAGTGTCGCTCGGCAGACCAGTCATTGCCTCTGCAAAGAGGTGAAATTGTGACATGTCCGTAAAAGGCTCTGTAGGTGAAAGACAAGTCGTATGCGGCCGTGGTCTACTGGGTGCTGTATCGCGTGGTGTCGAGTTGAGGGTTGGGTCAGGAAAGGTGCGAGTTCGGGGCGATATCATTTCGAGGTGGGCATCGGAAGAAACCGTACGTCGTTGCTGAGATAGTGATGACGGATTCTGTGGCGGCGTAGAATACGGCTGGTACTGGAAGGTTTCTGAGAAATCCGTAGCTGGAAATTGAGTCTGGGGTAGATGTTCTGCGCTGCTGCAGGGCGACTGAACGAAACCACGGGGCGAATTAGGCATACTGTGAGAGTGAATATGCGAGTAACGGGCATGTGTTTCCACACTCAAATCTGTGGAATGCCGTTGGTTCGGTTGGTAGGGTTCGGGCTGCAGAAGTGTCGAGTCTAGTTGGCGGGGAGGCTCGCGACGGAGAAGACCAAACAATGTCGAGCATTTGCTAGGTTTCCTTTCTGAATTTGAGGGCGAGGGTGGTAGTGGTTTGTTGAGATCTGAGTTTATGATTGGCGGCGATCGCAACGGCGTGGTTGGGTGAGAGGAGCATGAGCTAAATCGGTGTGCCGTGGCTTGGTATGCAGATAGCTTTGGCCCGTCTTCTTCCTCTTCCTGATGTCGGCTCGCAGAAGCCGGAATGTTGTACCAAAGCTCGTTGGCCGGCCGCAGAGGACTGGGTCTGTGACTGTCGTGCGCCATGGGCCTTTGTTGTTGGTGCGGTGTTGAGGCGAGATCAACGCGCAGAAGAAACAGGTCAGCCGGCGCGACTGACTTTGGCGTGGACGACAGGTTCTGGGGCTTATAGCTGGAGATTGTCATGGGGATCGTCAGCAGGTGGGCGGTGGTGGCATGCTAAAGGAAGCTGTGTCGCATGCAGATGAATCCAGGGCTGGGACCAGGGGTAGATAGGCTGGGCCCACGACGATGGTTTTAGAGTAGTGGTTAGATGCAGTGCAATGGTGGAGCGCTACTGCAACATGTAGTATTCGGGCAAACCCAGAGATTAATACCGGTAGCCGAGTTGCAGTCTGACAGGCCCAAGTCTTCTAAGTATGCTTTAGCGAAGCGGATGTATAGTATTACCAGACGGGACGACAGCGAAGTATATGGATCAAGCGGCAAGTGTGGCGTAGCCAAGGATAGTAGTAGCCGACGCAGCGCGCAGGGGCAGGCAGGACAGAGAGTAGTGAATTGCTATGTATATGGCTATGTGTAGGTACGGAAAAGGAGAGTGATGTTAGCGCATAAGCCAGAAACCACCTGTCCAAACGCATGTCATGATGAGAGCAACAAGATAGATGCAAGGACAGACCCCCAGCTGAAAGAATGGTGTTGACGGAAAGGGATAGAGACTTGAAGAGTCGAAAGGATTTTTGAGGCGGCTTGCTGGCCTAATCCCTCCGGCCAAGGCTCACACGACGCTTATCACACTCAACACGAATACGGCACAAAAAGTGTAGCGAAGGTGCAAGCGGTGAGGCTTAACATGGTCCATGCTACTACCCAACCTCAATGCAGCCAGCCGGCCACCTAAGTCCTCCTCCGCGCATAAAGGGTTGATCATGGACGCGCCGAGCGGGATGCGCGCAAGCGGCAAAAATCCTACTACTCTAGCAATGCAACAGCTCGTGCAAGTGGCAGTGGCAACAGCAACGGTAACGGCAAAAAAGGCGGCCATCCATGATGAGATGAACGATGCAGCGCATGCACTGCCTCAGCTAAATTTAGATGCATGCGCCCTAAAACCACAACGTGGTAACTAGCCGAGGTCCTGGCTGCATGACCTGTCGTTGCCCCGGCCGCAACCATCATCTCGACGCACCATGGCTTGATACTCTAGTGCCGTCAAGCTGCCCAAAACTATTCACTCTTCTCGTCCTGCTCACTGCCGTCTCCATCGGTGCCTTGGCTGCTGACGGCATACGTATGGCCTAGGCCTCTTACATCTCAATCGGCGTCATCACCAATTGTCCACAACATTAAATCAGCCAGCCGTCATCGTCGTATCTAATATCAAACTTTCGGCTCAATGCAAATCGGTCACGTGAGCTCTGCTCCACTACCTTAGCGCGTTGCATTGCAGTGCTAGCATCAAAACTGCTCAAGTCACGCATGTCTGCTTTAATAAACAAGTGGTTGGCTGTGGAGTTTGGCCTTTGCTAGTAGCATGCATCTCCCTCCCTCCGCCTTTATCACAACCTCGCAGAGCTCTTGATTTGCGGGGCGTCTAGTAGGGCCCAAAGATCGGGTCTTGTCATCTTGACCGATCATTTTTTTTTCCGTATCCGCTAGTACCCATATGCTACCCACGATGCGGAAAGTTCCTACCGTCCTCGCCAAACCAAAAAGCACGTCTCTATAACCCATCCGTGTGGTCAGACTTTGTGCAGAGCATAGTAAGCTCGTACGAAATAACGGCGGGATAGTTGTGTCATTCATCGCCCATCTCACGGAGACAATGAACCACGGGTACGGGTCTAGACGTGTGGCGTTAGAGTTTGTACTTTCATACACACAACAACCACTAGTGATATCTCGGGGGTGCACAAGCTCACATAGGATGTGGCGAAGAAACTCGAACCACCAAAATTGCACGGCCTGACGGCTGTCATTTGTACAAACTCTACAATAGGTATCCACGTGTTCGCTATAGTCACGACGGGCATGGCATGCCGCTAGGTATCATGGCTTGTTCTAGGCCTTTTGAGTTTGAACTCGACACAAACTCCTTTTTCTCAGCCCCCTCAAAGAATAACAAAATACAAACTAGTCATGTTTGAATGACGTGAGAAGGGTGCCATTTCATACTAGCAAGGCTCTGTCTCCAACAAAGAGTCATGTGCGTGGACAAGGTGTTGGAAGAACTACGCCAGTGCTTAGACACGCGGACTCGGTTTGTTATTTCCGTGACACTTCAGTAAATACCATTTCACTTACATAGCTGACTGTATACGCAATTTCAAACGGACAACCCTTTCCGGTCTTATTTCCCTTAGTGTTGTCCGCATTGTACCCCTTGGCCGGTAGATACCATCTTTCGATCGTCAGACAAGCTCTTCAAAGATTGACTTTCTTGCCACATGGCTTCTTCAAGGGGGTGGCTTACTTGGACCCATCATCCCATGCATCACTCAGCTGAGGACACCCTGGAAAGCAACAACACACTCGGCCTAAGAGATAAAAACGTGACCAGGTAATTTCATTTAAAATTGACCAACCGGAGCTAGTGAATTACGATTAGTCAGAAAAAGGTGATTGAGAGGATCTGTAAACAACTCTGAAGAGACCGAAAAGCACATTGATTCAAGTGTCACTACGCAAAATCACAATTGCAAAGCAAATGTTAATATTTTAGTTGATAGTATTCAATTTAAAAATAAAACTATCCTTGAATTAAATCATTGCCCACATTCTGTACACCCGCAAAATCACTCCATCTCCCTTCCACCATCTATCGGCGGCACCTTCTTCCCCAACCGCACATACTCCCACATCCCCGGCAGCATCACCAGCAAACCACGCCATAGCCGTGTTTTATGCGTTACGCCAAGGGACTATGCGTACACGGATAGCAAAATGTATGGGTGGTCTGAGCCGTATGATAGGAGGGGGGCTTAGGAGGGTATGGGGAAAGAGAAAATAGTGAATATCAAGATAAGGTATGCAAAAAAGAATTAGTTACAAAGTATAATTAAGGCATGGAACTTGTGATGTTATGGCAGTATCTATCTCTCTCTCTCTATCTATCTCTCCCTCATTAACCTAAAAGAAATACGTGAATTCTCGAAGAACTATTGAGGATTTAACCAAGTCTCTTGCCACTTCCCGAGATGCGTAGAAATGAAGAAGAAAAAGAAGTCTTTTTTTCCCTTGAGATTTTCTCTTTGATTAAACACTACCATTAATCCCAAGCTAATTGCGAAGATTCATTGCGGAAAAGATCCATATACGTAATAAACCTTTCATTTCTTTCTTCCAACTCGCACATAGTTAACTTAGTACAGTGTGAGCGATGCCGACTAGCAGATTGACAACTAGGCCTGGCACCTCTCACCTTAGAGGTACTTCCCTTAAGTAGTTATCCTGAGCATTGAAATCCACGAACATACAGGTAGAAGACAAAAAAAAAGAAAAGTACGAGTACGTAATTGGAATGCACGAAGGAGAATGAGAAATCTGTGAAATAAGATATGTGATGCCACCAACCAACTCATTGACTACATCCACCTGTGAAGTCCACAACCCCCCCCCCCCATCCCCCCATATGACCCAGTCCGACACCTCCCTGTCGCACGTTAAAAGGCGCATCTGCACATCCACCCATCATCCACCAATCTCCACACAAAATCTCAAAGAAGCCACCATCCAAAAACAATGGTCGAGCACTGCAAGCGTCTCCGCGTGCAATACCGCCCTCAACCCCGACAATCCTGGCACCTCCTCAAAAACCTCAGCAAGCTCAACGGCGGTTTGAATGCGGGCATCGCAAAAGTATCCTGCAGCAACCCCTCCGCACGAGGCATGGTCTTCATCGAAAAACGCTTTGGGGCTCAAGAATTCAAGTACAGAGTTGCTCATCGCGAAATTCAACTGCTGCACCAGATAAGCGATCACATGAACATTGTCACAATGGTTGATCATTTCCTCGACAAAGGAGCGCTACGCGCGGCCGTGTACCTGGAGTACTGCGATCTGGGGAGTCTGGATGCGGTAGTATATCAAGTCGCCAAAGGAAGGCATGTCCACGAGCGTAAGGTGTGGAGCTGGTTTTTCCAGCTGTGCGGCGCGCTGACGTATTGTCATTGGGGACCGGAGCCTAGCAAGAGCGATGACGAGATTTTTCAGTCGGGGTGGAGTAGGATTTATCATCGGGATGTTAAGCCGGGGAATGTGCTGTTGACTAAAGAGGGGGGACAGATAGTGGTGAAGCTGGCGGACTTTGGATGTGGAGTTTCCGAGGACCATATTGCGCAGGCGCAGAGCGAACAACTTGCTATAAAGCAGCAAGTGGGAACGCCGGGGTTCGATGCACCAGAGTATCCGTTCTTTGGGGGAGCGTCGGATGTCTGGCAGCTGGGGGTTACGATGATGTGCTTGTGCACGGGGACCATGTCGCCGAAGAGTCGCATGAATCCTGGTGGTCAGATATGGGATAAGTCGAGACCAGCGGGAGACAGTTATTCGGGCAGGCTCAATTCGAAGATCAAGCTGTGTATGGCGACAAGGCCCCAGCAGCGATCCACCTCCTATCAAATTTTGCAACTATTGGACCAAGCAAGTGTGACAGAAATGTCAACGTTGTCCAAGGATAGGCGTCCGCTGGCACTATTCAAGCCATACGACCGAGAGAGCCCTCCAGTGATGAATCATATGCCAGCATTCGAGTCAGGACCCGAATGGTCAGTATTTCTGGCTCAAGGCGGAAGGCAAAGATGGAATCAGATGAATGCACCGGCCCTTTCATTCTTTTAAGCCATAGCCTTTGAAGACTTAAGAGTATCGCGCCCATACTCATTCCCTGGATGTTCTCACAAGCACATATACGTTGATTCTTCTACAAGAAGCGGTTTCGGGCACGATTCGATTCGTAGTGTGGTTGTCGATAAAGGTCGAGACGCCAGCTCAGTCTAATATTATTCTCAGGCTATTCTGTTTTCACTGGTTATGCCAGCCCCAAGATTCCTCAAGTTGTGCAATCATCGCGGTAGGAGGGAAAGCATGTGTTTGTTCACAGCTGTACCACAAATCGCGGAGGCTTTGTTGCTCCTCTCTTATGGTGAATCGGTCGCCAACTATGTACATTAGAAAGTGTTCTAGAAAAAAATGCAAGAAAAGAGTTATGTATGAGCAAGCTCCAAGTAGAGCACGTACCTAGTGCAATCGCATAGCATGCGACAAATATGCAGGGAAATACTTTAGGATTTGATTGAGCGACACCGCACATTATGCGTACGTTCTCTTGTACAGCCTTGTCCACGACGGCACGTGAAGCCTTGTGTGCAGGCCCAAGCTGCGGTATCGTAGGGTCATGTACAATCAGTAGTGTATGAGCTAGGAGATTGTACTGCATGCCCATTACATGCTCTTTTCGATGTAGGCGGATATCTGGAAAGCTGTTTCCGCTCGAACTGTCTTTGTGGCGAAAATAATACGGATCGAAGCTGTCAGGTCTGCACTGGTTCCACGCTTTGTTCTCGTCCATGAGCTGATTGTAGCGAGCGATGCTATTTCTGTCCTCTCCAAAGACAAAGTTGCTCACATCGCCAAGATGTGCAATAGTCCGCGTAGCCCACATTGAGTCGGTAGCCGGCTCGAGTGAGCGGTCTGCAGGGAATATGTGTAACTTGAAGGCTTTTTGGGTCATTAGTGAGATCCACAGTTCTTGACGAAAGGCGGCCCAGTATATGGCCTGGCGCCAGTCTGGTCCAGATGTAGCAGCATACGACTGTTCAGCAGCGCGAATAATCGCTTGAGTACCAAAAAGATGGCCTTGAGGGTCACTTCCTACAACTGAAATGTTCATCTCCTCCAATAGCCGTAGAATAACGGTCGCTGCAAGCAGTGGCTCTTCCTTGATGGTTGAGTTGTCATTTAATGCAGGGATCAAAGTGTCAAAGCATCTCTGGTAGTAAGCATCAGCAATGTAGGGATCAAAGTCGGCAATCCGGCTAAGCTGGCGTGCGGACAAGGCAAGGATAGCATTCCTGCATCAAGTCAGCAGGCAGCTTCTTATAAGAGTGGGTCCTACACGAAATTACAAACATTAGTGTACTGTTTTGTTTGGCCATCTGGACAATGTGGCAGCCAAAATGATCTCTAGAATCCATCATATCAAACTAACAATAGTGAGCAGAAAACTTCTTGTTGCTGTCAACGGCCAAAGACTCACAAACAAGGCAACATTTTCAATATAGTGCTGAAGCAGCATAGCCTCCTGCTCCTGCTCCAATGGCCATAGAACCGGCTCGCCAGGAGGCTGCTGATAAACAAACGTGCTAGCGTTGGCGTCGTCGTGCCTTTGATAAGCACTCGTATTTGGTGGCTGACCCGGGGTCATAGATGGCGCAGAAGTATTCCGCTGAACAGGCGACTCAGAATTTAGCAACGATAAGACCGTCAAGCCCTCCGTGGGCGTAAACAGAGTAGAGTTTGGAGTCAAGTTACTATTGTCCTGGCCACTTGCCGAAGAAGGACCAGGCGATTGATACAAAACAGAAGATCCGCTAAAAGGCGAGTCGCCGTTCTGAACGTAGTGTGAACGAATCTCTGGGGATTCATCCAAAAACTGAACTATAGCGCATTCCATTAGCAAAAAGCCGTCACGGTACACGAGTAGTCGTGGTTTTCCTACTTCGAGGTGGGAACGAAACCCAGGGCTGGGCAGAGCTGAACGAATCTGATATGGAAGATCGCCGGAAGCGTCTACCACTCTCGTATACGCATTCCTTTTTGGCATGTTCGCATCTTCCGCATTTCGGCTGCTTCCCGTCGCCTATCGCAGGATCATTAGCCAACGGGGGGTGGGGAAGGGGACCGCGGATTTTAGCCACCCGCCTCAGCGCTCGTAGCTTACATCGATAGTGACGCGAGCGGCATCGAATACTAGATACGGAGTGTCAATCAAAGTGTAAACAGCGGGTAGTAAAGACAAAAAATCACGGCCCAAGGGTCTTCGTACCATGGCATTTGCTCTTGGCCACGCGGTATGCGCGTGGCAGTGGGACCGTAATACAACAGTTGCGGGCAAATTTACGAAGACTGGACATGCGCGCGAGGATGCTGCATTCCAGTGCTCCGAGATGAGAAGGACGCGCCGATATCAGCAGCAATGCAGCATCCAACCATATTCCGCGGGTTAGTAAAAAAATTGGACAAAAACGGTGAAGGGGGGTTTTGAGCTCCGCGGAGCAAGAGTAGTAGCAAGGTAAGTAAAAATTACAAGCAGCTGGGTTGGTTGCTTTGCTGGCAAAGGAAAACCTGAATAATTCGCCGCAGGAAACGGGCATTGCTTTGGGGGGGGGTGCCCCACATGGTGCATTTGGCCAGAAGAAGCAACTTTGCCCGCCACACAACCCCCCCTTTTCGTGCCAATAGAGGCCGAAGACATGCCTAAGTAAGTACTTCCCCGCGGGGAATCCATGCACAGGGTCTCCAATGCTTACTACTCTACTGCATTGTACTACTACTACACATGTATGAGCATACATATCAAGACCAGAGCGTCAATGGATTCTACAACTAGACTATTCCTCAATTCCACCCCATAGAAACAAATACAACAGTAAAAAGCCAACCACCACAATGCCCCACGCCATCCCCCCGTCCCCCTCCCACCCCCAT